ACATATTTCTTATTCCCTAAAGAAGGAATGCTATGAAAATCACATAAGTCACTATGCACTAAATCAAGCAATGCATTGTTCTTTTCAACAACATTAGGAAAAGGGTTCCTTGTGATTTTTGTCAACATGCATGTTCTACACTTCTCTACACTTGGATCAAAAGCTGGAATTAAAGCATGCTTAGACATAAATTGCAATTTTTTATAATTAACATGACCAAGTCTCAAATGCCATAGAGAAGAGCAATCATTAACAACATACACATTATTTTTCAAAGTATTACAAATACTAAGTTTAAACATTCCATCACACAAGTAGCCAAGTCCTACAAACAAACCACCTTTAGATAATACAAACTTGTCTGATTCAAACACTAATTTAAAACCTAAACGATTCAGGATAGCACCGGAGACAAGATTTCTCCTAAGCTCGGGAGCATACAACACATCCCTTAAAATAAGAGATTTTCCAGAACTAAATATTAGCTCAATTTGTCCCTTGCCTAGCACCTTAGCGGTAGAGTCATTGCCCATGTAGAGTATCTCTCCACCATCAACCTCCGTAAAGGTCTTGAACAATGATTTGTCCTTGCAAACATGCCTCGATGCTCCTGAATCGATGTACCACGAACAATCAACCTGCACACAATTGATTTCAGAAATCACACACATAATCCATAAAAGAATTAAGTGAAACTTGTGTACAAGAATTACCTTGTTTCTCATGGGATTGGCTTGGCTCGCCTTTCCCATCTTGAGCTTGCTTCTTGCTCACTTTTTTCTTCCATATGGTACAATCTTTCTTAAAGTGACCGGGTTTACCGCAACACCAACAAGTTCGTGATTTTTGACCATCACTATCCGCTTTGGGCTTCTTGCCCTTGTTTGTGTTTGAATTACTTCCCCTCTTCTTATTATTAGTCTTACCATCACCCACCATATTTATAGTAGATGAACTAGGATTACCATCCTTTTGACCATCTTGGATTCGGATTCCCTCTTCAATCCGAATGTGGGCTCCTAAATCCTCAAGACTAATAGATTCCTTCTTATGTTTTAGGTCATTCGTAAAAGTCTTCCAAGAGTTCGGTAGTTTGTCAATGATAGAAGAGACAATAAAAGTCTCATCTAAATTAATGTTGTGTTGTCTAAAGCTACCCAAAATACTTTGAATTTCATGGTATTGTTCCATAATTGATCTATCATCAACAATTCTAAAACTATTAACTTGCTAACAAGAAACTTTTTACTTGAAGCATCTTCGGCCATATACTTGGCCTCTAGATCATCCCAAAGTATTTTAGCAGATTCACTAAATTGATAAACATCAAACAAGACATTAGACATACCGTTAAGTATATGACCACAACATATGTAATCATCATTTTCCCATTTGTTCTTCTTACGAGCGGCATCCAACGTCTCATTTTCCTCCTCCACCGGCTTCGGAGTTGAAAGAACGTAAGCCACACCAAGGGAAGTCAACAAGAAATGCATCTTCTTTTGCCATCTCCTAAAGTCCACACCTTCAAATTTCTCCAATTTCTGAAAATTGGTCATCATTTCCTTCACCGAAAACATCTTTGTAAAGAAAATTACACTTTTGGATTGTTGGGGATAATAGTAAACAAGGGAAATTACAAAGAAATATGGAAATGAAAACAGAGAAATTTATCCGAGTCGTGAACGGAATCACTTTCCCAAAAGTGTAATTTCGACCCTAATACTACAACCGGGTTTCACGAAAATTTCACTTAGGAGATAAAACGGAACAATTACAATTTGTTGTAGCCAAATTGTAATCACAATGATTCAAGTGGTTTGTATTTGTGATGATGAAAATATTGGGAACTTGCAATATGTTGTTAGAGAATGGAAACCAGAAAACTGACTTTCTATTGCTTTTTTCTCTCGGACAACTTTAATCATCATATATATGTATATATATATTAGAGCAACCAAACTTCCAAAAGGCATGATGCATGAAACATCAACCGTCAAACATTGAATGCAACCGTCATTCAATTATTATTATTATTATTATTTTTTTTTTTAATTATAATTGTATACATAATACTCAAAAGCAAATAATATAACCGATCAAGAAATCAACGGTCACTTTAATTTCTTGCTTTTAGATTAAAACCTTTGACCCAATTTATACAATGTATAAATTGTATTACTTGCTCTAATACTTAATAAACCCAAAATGCTACACCATTACCTAAGCAAATTAAGAGTATTAACATGAAAATAGTCTTAATACTCTAAATAATTCTACATTCAATTGGGATATGAGAGCAGTGATGTATGAATTTAGATTAAGATCCAAAGCTTTCTGCTTGGCTGATTTATAACATTTGATCTTTATCTACACTAGCATTTGAATGTTGTATTTGCTTCATTCAATTGAAAGATGGATTTGTTAAGACGAATGATACAAGTCAGTCCTATGGTAGCTATTTAAATGTTCAAGCATTTTTCTGATCCCTACATGTGGTTCAGCAAGTTTTCTGTGATCAAAGATGGCCTTTTGATATGCACTAATCACTTATTATTCATTGACCATAGGAGTGACATTATTAATTGTGATCTGTACTTGCCTGACATTTAATTCGCTTTAGTACATTAAAATGATGATGGAACTTCATTGTTCAATTTTTACTCGTATATATTTATTTGTGTAGGGTTCTGATATATTATAGCTACAAATTTATGTATATTGATTATATGCAGTTGGAATCTCCAGAGTTGAAGCTGAGTGGCCCTAACAAACTAGGAAGGAAAGAGTACTTTGAACATCTCCGCAATGCAAAATTCTGCCTAGCTCCCCGCGGAGAATCCTCATGGACCCTTCGCTTCTACGAGTCTTTTTTTGTGGTTTCTCTCTGCCCCTCTCTCCCTCCTCTTTTTATGCTCCCACATTATGGAAACAACCTTGAATGATTCTGTTGAACAGGAGTGTGTGCCGGTGGTGCTGTCTGATCAAGTAGAGTTACCTTTCCAGAATGTCGTGGACTACACCCAAATATCAATCAAATGGCCATCAACTCAAATAGGCCCTCAACTCCTGGAATATTTGGAATCAATTCCAGGTTAGAATTTGTTAATCTGTTTAATCTTCCACTTGAGGTTTCCTTTACTGCAACAGCCTTTGAACATTGGAATCATACTGATGCAGAAAAGGAGATTGAGAATATGATCTCCCGTGGTAGACAGGTGAGGTGTTTATGGGCTTATGCTCCAGATTCACAGCCATGCTCTGCTATTAATGGTATTCTTTGGGAACTTCAACGAAAGGTCAGACATTTTCACCAGTCAGCCGAAACATTCTGGTTGCACAACAGAACCATTGTAAATAGAGATTTTATACCATTTTCCCATTGGAAACCGCCCATGCTTTTGCCTTAACTTTACTGATTAGTGGAAAATTATAGGGCTCCATACTACTTTTTATGGAATGAAAAGGATGCTGCTACGGTGCTACGTATGTAATCTGATGTAACTTGTAGAATATGTAATGAAGGTAATATTGGTTAACATCTGAGAAGTGCTTGAAGTTTTGATGTGCAGGCTGCAGAGGTGTGAGAATTTACCATGCCTTAGGTTATACAGTTATAGGGAAAAATCTGTTCAACATGCTGCTGAGTATAGATTCCGATGTAAGTTTTAAAGGGTCACTTATTTTGACTATAAATGTGGGATAGTATTCTTGAATCTTGAGAAGATAAATTATAATAATTTCAAGTATCATTGTAAACGACGGAGTTACCATTACAAGCATATTATAGTATCATTACAATACCTAAAAGTACAATTTGACTGCTTATGAAACTTTTTAATTTTTGCAAGTATTTATGAAAATGTCAAGGCAAATGCCTACTTGTTTGCCCCCACTATGAATGCCTCACAAGAGTTAACTTTCCTCTTGTCTTCTAGCTCATACATCTAACAACTACTATCTCCATATTCCTATTTTTGCTTGACATTTACACTTCTCACAAACTTGTGGTGAGAAGTGTTTCTTAATGTTTATTTTTCTTACCTTTTCAAAAAAATAAAATAAAATAAAATTACACTTCTCACAAATATGTGTTCAATGGGTGTAAGAAGTATTTAGAATAATAGTGTAAAAATGTGGGTAGATATATAAGAAGTATAATTTAAAAAATGCAATATTGTGATTGAAAAGGGGTAGGGTAGTAAATGGGATATGCCCAAAAAAAAATAAAAAAAAATAAAAGAGGAGTAAAGTGAACATATAAAGAACTTAAGAAACAAACTAATGGGGAAAACGTTGAGAGCATTTAAGAACAGAGATCCCATAATTTCTATCATTACAATGTTTCTTAGAAATCGACGAAAGAGGCAAAGTAATCATGAACTACTTTTATAATTTTATTTTATAAAAAAATGTTGAAGGATTTTGTTAACCGTATATTTCATTGGTATTCTTTCAATTGCAATATGATTTTTACATTTGTCAATGTATAATTTCAATCATCAATATGGTTGAAAATCTTTTGTACCGGCTATTGTTATTAGTCATTAAGACTCAAGTTAGAGGCCAAGAATACTTCTAATTACAAGGCCTTCAATTTCTGTAAACGACCTTTGTTCTAACCGACGTGGTTCCTCGACCTTTGTTCTAGGCCCCTTTGTGACTCTTTTTCAGCTCCCTTACCTAATTCGCTCTGTGTCAGACATCTTATGCTGCCAGTAAGTTCATAATTTACAAGTTCTCACAAGGTTTGTCTCGCAGGCACTCGCTCAAATGTTCAAGGTGGCAATGCTCTACTTCGAATTTATAGTATAGCCAAAGCATGTTGTAATAGGGTTTTAATATGCATGCTTTGTACTTTAGCTTCTCTAAACTTGTTACTTTCATTCAATGAACTCTTTGTCCAAAAAAAAAAAAAAAAAAAAAAAAAAAAAAATGGGTACAGACCAAAGTGCAAACGTCAAACTTGAGCCAAAGCCAGAACAAGTTAGATTTGAATATTTAGTTAACACTCTAAGGCTCTTAGCCAGTTATTATTGCTTGTCAAACTGAATACAAGTAGCAGAAATACCTTTCATATTTTGATTTATATATTATTATACATATTTTAAGAATGAAAAATGGCAAAAACCTAGCTCAATGCAAAAGAAACACACACTTGAAAGTAAAATAAAGAAAAAGATATTTCATTCCAAATCTAATCAAACAGTGTCACTAACTATATACTTAACAGTTAACAGTATACAAACTAACACTCTCCTCCCTGCTTAATCCAAGTGATACTTTTGAATTTAACAAAGACTCTCCCTCCTACTCAATCCAAATTACAGTCCATCAAAGCACCGATACCAGCTAACTACAGAATACTAGAGGAAATTTCAATTGGGCTATAACTCTGAGAGCAATTTAGAGTTATCCAACTGAAGATGCTGTGGCTGCCAGATGGGTAAGTGCTCGACGGTGATATACGGAACGAAGTTTCTTGTATTTCTGGATAAATGCCCCCAGCTCAATCTCTTTATCAAGAAACTGGCGATGAAGGGCCTCAGATTCCTCATCTGCTTTGTTCACTGCCTCTGCGAAGATAAAAGCATGGATTAGTTAAATTAAAGAATTGTGAGATGGTACTCACCTAATCACTAATCAGCTATTCCTTCGTAAGTTTGTACTTACATGCTGAGTTTGTAATTTTACTAATTACCCAAATAGTTTAGACTTATAGTTTTGTATCCTATTTTTATAGTGGATTTTCGGGTGCTCATCATCCGTGGGGTTTTTTGCCTCGGTTTGAGGGTTTTCCCAACGTATGTGTCCATTTATTATTTTTCTGCCATATTTCATCACCATTTATCTTTGATTCTGCTCACACTCGCAACCATAACATTTCTTTTTGCCAACTGTTACTCTTGCTCATCAAACTTAATCCCAAGTTCACTTCTAAATCAAAAAAGGAAGGGGGGCTAGGACCAAGGACTCAAGGAGTAGCAACTAGCAAACAAGAAAGGGAATATAACAATTTCGCCAACAAAACCTGGTGGAATAAATGAATCATCACCTCTGGCTTGTTTTACCAAAAACAAACTCTCGATTATCCAATTACCTAATGTGGACCTATAATAAGTCGATACTCAAATATATTCCCAATCTCAACCCCAAGGCAGGTATGTGCTGAGAGAGAAACTTGTACAGACCCAAGGATCATGTCATTAATCTTTCAAAGTTCATAATGAAATGCTAAAAGCCATTGGAGGAGAAAAGGAAAATGTCCAAATAGATAAAACTCAGCACACGGCCATTTCAATGCACCATTAAAAAACACAAAGACATAGCCAAAGTAGAATCCTAGAGCCTCACTTTCCACAGACACTAAGGGCTTGCCTGGAATGGCAGTAAAGAGGGAGGAAAGGTTAAGGGAGTAAAAATTTCTGGCACTTTTACTTGCCTGGATGGAAAGTAAAATTACAAGGGAGTAATATATTCCCCTAAAAAAGGGGGTAAAAGTTACCCAGGGCCCCCCAGTGTAATGTTTTCCCCCTCAACATCTACTGCGTCATTTCCATTTCTCTCTCTCTCCTCTTTACCAATCTGTCTTCAACCTTCCAACTCCACCATCTTTCTTCCACCAAAGCCAAGTCCTACCTAAATTATTATACTCCATTAGCTTACCATGGTCCGTTCAGGTTAGTGCTGGCAATGGAAGAAATCTTTACTCCAATATTAATGCCAAACTTTAGGAAAATGAAGTTTTAACCCATAATTGATTCTCTCCTAATTTTTGTCCCATTAGATTTTAATCCCTTAATCATTTCAAGGAATCCAGGCAAGGCCTAAATGGTAATGACTAATCAGCACTCACTTTCACAACGACTCCATAACTGAACTGGGACATTGGTCTACCATGCTAAAAATTACCTTTCAAGCGGTGCAGAAGTGATGCTGTAGAATAGCACTTCATAATACCCTCTTTTTGTCTCTCCAGATCATTTAACTTCTCCAGAGCATCAGCTAACTCACTTGTGCGAATGATCATGCACTGTAATAATATCAAAAGCAAAGAATGGTTTGAAAATTTCTGCACATTATATGCATAAACTTCACAAGGACATTAACTTGTCCAATTTTCATATGTCAGCCTCACCTGATTTCTCAGTTCCACTATCTGTGGTTCCTTCTCCAAATTTTCTCCTAAAGAACAAAAAAGAATTATAATGTTATGACTAAGATGAGCAGAGAGCCACAATATATATATATATATATATATATATATATATATATATATATATATATATATATATATATATATATATATATATATATATATATATATATATATATATATGTTTTAAAAAGTAAAAAGTAAAAAATAAAAAACAAAAATAAAAAATTTAAAATAAAAAAACCCTCACTTGCAAGCTGCAGAGTTGCCTTTTGCAATTCATCTCTAACCTGAAAATTGAATAAATAAGTCAGAAACATGAAAGAAACATATCACGAGTCATGTACAGACCTTGTTCTAGGGTTTCATGGAAGTAAGCTAACATGGACATCCATAAACACCTTCACCCATATTGGCATTCTTTAGTTTGATAACAGTCTCTAACGTCTTACTAAGTACATTACAAAGCTATCTCATAATAAAATAAAATAAAAGTGTCATTTAGTGGCGCAAGTTCTCAAGGAAATACACCTTATTGCTATCAAATGCATGCCCAGATATTCCACTTTTCACTCATTTTGATACTTAACCCAGCATCACACTAGATTCAATACAATTTTTATTTGAAATGTCATCATGATCCAGAGCACTCTCCTTGTGTCAAGACTCTAAGAGTAGCAAAACAAAGTGTGGTATAGAGAGGTACATTGGCTTGCATTTACATATTTAGAAATGGCAAACATGGTCTAAGCCTTAGTCCCAAAATGATTTGGGGTCGGCTAACATGAATCGTTATAAGGACCTGTCTGAAAAGGAACTATAATTAACGAAATCTATGAAATGTAAAAATTTGATATAAAAGAAAGTATAAATTGAGATAAATCAAAGACTCCACATGGGTATATTTTTCCTTAAGTATAAATCATTTAAGATAATCAAAGTGAAGTGTGTGAATAGTGCAAAAGTCAATCTGTTGCAACTAAATAAGAATGGAGGAAGTATATTTTACACAAAGAATTATATAAACGATATATTACTTTAGATACTTCTATTACACAAGTGATATTCCCTTCATCTCACACTAATTGACATATTTGACTTTTTTTCACTATTCATATATTAATTTTGACCAAAAAAAAAATATCATTAAATATAGTGTTAAAAATGTATTATAACGTTTCATAACCACAACTTTTTTTTATAATTTTTACTAATATTTAATTATATACAGTTAAGGTCAAATTAGGCATTGGCATGTGTGCCAAAGTTTTATTGTGTCAATTATTCTAAGGCGGAGGGAGTATACTTTAGACATTTAATAAACCAAGATACTTTGTGCCCACACAATGTTTTAAGCGATAAAGTAGAAAGAAAAATCTAAAGAACATAATACATGCACACTGTTATTGTACAAAATAAAATGATAATTCCAGTCAAGAGAAATAACATTAAGAATAAATGAATGTTTGAATATTATGAAAGCACAAGTAAAACATTTCAGCTAAATAAAACCTTATGAAAAATCCATCTCTAAATTCTTTTTCCTCTTTTCTCTTAAACATCTTTTATTTCAAGTTTACCAATGTGTGATTTTAACACTAATATCTTTAATTATCAACAAGTAAAAATTATTAAAAATTGATATTATGAAAGCATAAATCGAGGTGAATCTAACAAAGATCCAATATGACTATATTTTTCCTCAACCACAAATCATCAAAGCTATAATAGCTATTCATAGTAGAGTATGTGAATATTGCATATGTTAACATGTTGCAAATTAAAAAAAATTAAAACAAACAAAGTGAAATTTTGTACCAATTGTAGATGTGATTCTATTCACTATTACAAACGTCTGGTTCACATAATAGAATGCAATATATAACAAATTGTCAAGAATTTAAATTAGGGAAAAAAAAATAATTCTGGATAACTCACATTGTTCTGAGTCTTTACTTGATCAAGAGAGAATAAGAATTGATTGTAGGCCTCCTTGTCGTTCAAAAGCTTCCGTAACTCATCAACACTACATTATGACAGACAAGAATTACGGTCAAGCCTAATGGATTATCAACTAATTTCATTTGACAAGGAGGTGGAGTATTACAACCTCCTCCATAAGAGTAAATTTTAGGTCTTATTGTAATGTATCTTTAAACCTCAAATGAATTGCGCAGCCTAACTAGAAAAGATTTCCTCAAGCCCCTATATACATATAGAAACCAAATGTATTTCCACCTGTCCAAAGTTTCTCTTTCTTTCTTTCTCTTTCTTATTTAAAAAAAAGGGAGGGGGGGGGGGGAGTGGTTGGGGTGGGGGGCTAGTCTATGCAATTCTATGCTAGATACACTTGTTATACTTTAAGCACTACACCTTTAAACATCTACTTTGAGCACCTACACCTACACCTTTAATTAGAAATTAAAAAAAAAGAAAAATAAATAAAGTAAAGTTGATAAACATTAAAATCAACCCAACAATATCTTACATACAGCTTTTGTTGTTTATACATTAGCAAAAATAAAAGGATCAAAGTAGAGTGTATGCATAATAAAGTTAATATGATGCGCACATTATGAGATGAACTGATGAAGGGAATATTAGATTTTTATTAGTAATATTTACAAGTACATAGTAGTTGGTTTGGCTATCTTCAATTGTTATATTCAGTTTAACAAGATCATGTAATATTATCATTATCCCACTTCCTTTTCCCTTGTCCCACCTCTTGTTCTCTCTCATGCATTCCCAGAACCTAGTGTGGTCAGCCACCCACCCAATGTTACATGGATTCAGGTACTAGGCTAAATTGAGAAGAAGAAAAAAAAAAACATGATGTTAGTCCAAAATGAAGTGTCGGAGTGTCCATACCCATGTCAGAGGCGGACCCTTAAAGTAAAATGAAGAGTCCGAGAAACATAGCACCCAGCCACCCACCCATCAAGGATCTACCACCACACCCATCCTCCCCACCACCACCAACCAAATTTATTTATTTATTTATTTTTTTTTTATTTTTTTTTTCTAGAATCTACATTCACCCAGTTCTAAAGATCCCGTGAATGCACCTTTCTCAATAGATTCCTTCACTCGCATAACTTTTGGTTCAAATTCAGAAATATAACAGTTTCAGTTGAAGGAAATGCTCTCCGGCAAGAATCTTTATTTCTCATATAAATATGGGATGCATGGATACAGAAATAGTTGGTACAGGAAACCACATTATCATCGCAATCTTATTTGATAGATAAGATCGAAATGCATTCCGTTTTGGAATCAAAGAAAACCAAGATATGGAAGATGGCTTTTTTAGGTTGTGATTTGAAATAACCCAAAAGTTTTCTCCCTTCAGGCGGAAGAGACTCGCCAATTTATTCCTATGGAATAACTAGGAATACAAAGATTTAATCGGAAATATCGACAAATTCAAGCCGAGTTTAAAGAAAAAAAGGTCAACTATTCTAATTTAATCTGTATCAAATTTGAATATCAGAATAGCGGGTATATTCATGATTCAATACGCCAGGTCCACTTACTTTTCATTTGTTGATTTCGAACTTTTCCATTTCAAGAAATTTGATTCAAATAATCAAAAACTAGATGAATCCCTTGCGATGCACGGTTTGTTTATATTTTTTCAAATAAAATATTTTACTAAATATATATTTATCTAATAAAATTTGTGATATTCGCTTGCTTATTATTTGAATTTTTTTTAATTATTCTGTATTATTAATTTTGTTTCTCATATTTAGATAAAATTCCTAATATAAAAAGATAATATTTTATTTCACAAAGTTACATATGCGGCTGGTCACACCGTGTGGTCGAGATTACTTGGTCAAGGGTTACTCGGCTCGTCTAGGGTTACTCGGCTGGTCAAGGGTTACTCGGACGGTCAGGGTTACCCGGTCATTGTTTTGGTGTGTCTCAGCCAGTCACACGATATGGCCAGCTACATAGAAAACGCGCTAATTTTATTTTTATACTTAATATAAAACTTTATATCTAAAATAAATTGTAATTCTTTTTTTCATTGGCTAAAATATAACAATTTTCTATGTGACACTCGAAAATACCTTGAAAAAACCTTCCTTTATGTAATTTTTGTAAAAATTTATCATAATGTTAGTTCCATTAATCCAATTAATCTTACTCATGAATTTATTAAAAATAATAATCTTATGTGTTTATTTTTTATTATAATCCTACGTAGCGCTTTAAAAAAACTAATCTTACGTGGCATAATCCTATCGTAGCGTTTAAAAATATGAATCCTACGTGGCGCTTTTTTTTATTATAATCCTAAATAGCGCTTTAAGAAAACTAATCTTACGTGGCATAATCCGATTGTAGCGTTTTAAAAATACTAATCCAACATGGCGCTCTAATCATTTTTTAAAAATAAAAATCCTATGTGGCTCTCTAAAAACTCGGGAAAAAAACCCCTTCATATATACATATATATATGTACATATATACATATATACATACATATATACATACATACACACACACACACACACACACACATATATATATAGGAATAGTTGTTGATTCGAGAAACCGGTTATCATTATAATATAATGAATATTAGTTCAACTTTATAACTACTAATAATAAGTATAACTTATTATACTTACAAAGTTGCTTCTTTTGTACTTTCAAATATCAACAAACAATATTTCTATTCCCCGCTCAAATAGACTGTAGTTTTATGAAAAAACCTAAAAAGTCCCTTATCGGATTTGAACCGATGACTTACGCCTTACCATGGCGTTACTCTACCACTGAGTTAAAAGGGCCCTTTTAGCCAATTCTTGCTTAGTCACTATGTATATCCACCAAAAATATATCTATGTACATAGATTACATACAATAAGTTATTATATACTATACATTAAGTAACCGAATAGCAGCTAGGGACTCGTTTCGACATGCGTTAATAGGGTTAGTTTAACTTAAACTCCCTTTTTTCTTTCTATTCGACAACGGAAAGTATTCTGTAATTTCATATTATCTCGCGTTCTATATTAGTATTAGATTAATTATTAATATTCGATTCATTTTTAATGAATAAATTAGTCTATATAAATATTTAATAATTTTTGATTTTCTAGCGAATGAATGATTCATAAATGAAATTGAAATGACAAAAAAATTCTGGAATTGTGTAATACGGAAAGATCTTTCGAATCTGATTATTCGATTATATTGACAATTTCAAAAAACTGCTCATATTATGTTCATAGTATGATGGAAGTTTAGCCCGTATGCCCCCATTGTCTAGCGGTTCAGGACATCTCTCTTTCAAGGGGGTAGGGTACTACAAAAGGAAGTTGATCATAGATTAGCAATAAGCTTCAAATTGAATTGATTCTTCGATGCCCGAGCGGTTAATGGGGACGGACTGTAAATTCGTTGGCACTATGTCTACGCTGGTTCAAATCCAGCTCGGCCCAATAATCCGCTCATCCATTTTGAGACGAAGGTTTTTGTCTTCCCAAAACGGCTGATACACATAAAAAAACTAATCCAATTTTCTGTTATACTTTCTTTTTTTTTCTATTTGTTAGCTTTATTTATTTGTTTCGGGAAATTGAAATTTTGATCAGAATAATGATCTAGATTCATATTGTGGTATGGTCTACATTTGATTACGTAATCAAATCTTACTGACTTTGATCTCTAATGTTGATCACTATTATCATTACAACATATCAAAAAATTAATTTTGTAAATACTTTTCAGAAGAATCTTGTAAAAATGTGATCAAATATTTACTCTATGCATTGTGAGTGAAATAAATTGTCAAAGTTGATAAAGTTTTACTTCAAAAGTAAAATACGCCATATATTTAGGGATGACCCATCCTAGTAAAGTGTTTCACTTGGATAATCCTATCCAATGAAATCATCCCATTAGAAAAACTCACAGCATTCTTGGGAAATAACCATCCTTTTGGTGATCCGCTAATGCACCGATCATTGAGCCAGCATTTTTAGATTGAAAAACGACAAGGGCTGAGTGGCTTAAATAATTAAATGCAGTTTTAAATTCACATCAAGGGTAGTAAAAATTCATTATTTGAACCTGAAAGATTCTATAGCAGATTAACGATTCAAACAAAACTATCATTATGACCAATAAAAAAAATAATTTAAAAAAAAAAAAAAAAAAAAATCAAATATGAAAATCATGAGAAAAGATACTCACCCCGTATCTAAATAAGTGAAATGTTTTGACTTTTTGCACTATTCATCTAAATTCACTTTTACTAATGTTTGTGATTTATACATAAGAATAAATATAGTCTTGCGGGTACTTGTTGGAGTCGTCTTAATAAATAGTTTATTAATTAATATTCAATTGTTATAATTTTTACTTATTAATAATTAAAGATATTATATTATCAGTCAAAATTTTGCATTGTCATGCGTGCACAAGAGAAACGTTTCACTCATTTAAATACATAGGAAGTAAGTTATAAAACAGTCATTTTACTCGTCCCATTTTTTTTTCTTTTATTTGGGGGGGAGGGGGGAGGTTAAAGTTTGATTGGACAACTTAACTAAAACAGAACAGCAATGACAGTTTGCATAGGCAATTTAGCAAGCAATTTTCCTTAGTGGTATAAGAATTAGAGTCTTAGAGAATCGAGGCAGCCAAAATGATTTGTTTTTGCATTAACAATTATCACATGCTCTGAATATTCGCTTTCACAATCCTAATCATAGCCATACAAAGGCAAAGAGAGTAAGACCTCTAAGGCTCTAAATCCTAAATAAAATTAAGGTTCACACAAAACTTGAGCCCAATCCACAGTCATGGCTACTACAAGAAAGCCTAAAGTACTTTCATGTATCTAAACTTAGCAAGTTATATAAGAGAATAAAGAGATTGCATGGTGAACAACTTCCTCAAAGTAATCAATAGCTTCATAATCAAGGATATGATGATAATTTAGAGGCTTGTCGTTGTCGTCACCATAAAAAGGACTATGGCCTTGTTCTTTTTTTCCTTAAGAAGTCTTAGAGAACATAAGCTCTGAAAAAGCTACGAAATTCATTTTACAACTAAACATATGTTAAATACGCATCTGGGCCGCACCCGCAAACCAAGAGAGAGAGTCTACTTCACAAGTCCAAAGGAGGTTCCATCCCAAAACCATATTGGTAATAGGAGGAGTAGCCCCTTAGCCTTATAAAGTATTTGACTCTCTCTTCTTTTCTCGATGTGGGGCACTTACATGTGTTATTTGGTAGGATATACTACTTCAACAACATAAATTCAAATTAGTTCTAGAGAACTACAAGTAAATTCAAATAAAAAGGTTTACAGCAAGGGAAAAGAACAAAGCCTAATGCATAAGTTTTTTAGAGCTTATTTTGCTGAATATGTCTTTGCTAAAACAAACTTATGTTTTCTCCTTTTTGAAATTGTTTATGATAAATAAATTTAGTTGTGCTGAACCTAATATAGCTGAACTTCACTCTTCCTTTTTTTTTTTGTTTTGTTTTTTTTTTTTTTTTTTTTTTACTTTATTGTACTGAGTTTATTTTTATTGAACTAGTTTTTGCTGAATTAAACTTACATTTGTTAGACATCCCTTATTGGGGCAAAAACAATATGATTTCTAAGTCGAATACCAAAAAGCCTAACTAGAAGTAGGAAAGTTGTAGGAGGAACAGGTAACTGAAACTTTCAGCAAGTTTTACATCGGAAGATACTGAATGAAACAATGAATACATTTTGAAGCTAACCTCTTGTCCCTGAGTGTAGAAATTACTCCAGCAGCTTCAGCAGGTGAAACATGCGGACTAGTTTCTGGCCTTTCAAATGGCTTCGGTTGACTGTAACTGCTAGATGAATTGCTACCAGGTGTTGAGGGGCGAGAAGAACTTGGGGACTCGATTACAGATGGAGGATACCATGACTGTGCCGGAGCTTGTTGTGGACGTGACTGTGATCCCTGATCTTGAGATCCCCTGTCAAGGCAAAAATAATGAACTAAGATTAGATAGTAATATGAAAGAGTAGTCTGACACCTGTAAACCCGGGCATATACACCACTGACATTGCACACAGAAATATAAGCTTGAGACTCATAAGATATACTCGGTATAAATTTTCATGTAATTTTGATTTGCATGTAATTGAACTATTGAAGTCTTTTGATTTGCATGTTATTGAACTATTGAAGTCTACATTAGCAGGAATACAAAAGATTCATATCATATAAAATAAGTATTAAATCACTTATTTTGAGAAGAGAAACATCTCCAAGAAGCAAAATCTCCCCTTATTTCTCATCCACCATATCTACACTTAAGGAGAAGGGGTTGACCACTAAGAGAGCTCTTTAAGTCACAAATCAATACGCTAATTCGCTAAACCTAGTATGTGATAATGTTCATGTAAAGAAAAATTATACAAACCTAGTTTATGAAAGCAAAACTTCTTTACCAGATTACCACGATAACTAAAATCTTGGCGGCCAACAAAAGAAGCAAACATCATTTTATGGTTTATTATCACCATTTATTAGCTGAAAAGGGCTCTTTAATAACAACTCCTACAAATAAATTCAAATTTGAACCTTTCATTGTTTCCCATTATGCAAACAAGGGTTGCAAATAATATATCATTCCGTTCGCCTTTCCGAACTCGGGTATAAACTCGTATTCAAATACATTTATTTCAAAGGAAGCAAATATAGATTGTCAATTAAGGAAACTGATATGAACTATCATAGCCATAATTTCAAATTATTTTTATGATCAAATTCTGCCAGATAAAAAAACAATTTGCTATACTACACCAATTTATAGCTCTTGAGCTGATAGTAACAAAACATCGAAAATTACATATTCATAAAATTCGACAATTTCATCAAATTGCAAATTACAAAGTCAAAAAATCATTCAATTACTAAAAACAAAGAAGGCTCGAAAGATACTAGAATTAATTTCAGAATTAAAAAACCAATGAGAAAATTAATTAGCGAAAAATGATTATAAATTACAGAAATACGCACCAGAATCTGAACATCGAGGATTGATTGAAATAAATTGAATCAAGATTCAGCGTGGCAAAAACCCTAAATTGATTGAAGTTGATTGATTGATCAAAGGAAGGAAGGAAATTGGTGTTTTGATTGAGAATTCAGAAATGATGAGAGAGAATATACGCTGAAATTTGTTAATTATGTATGCGTGCTACAATCAAACACGCGCTTCTATTCCTGCCTAATGCCGATGTTCTTAGCCTTTTTTACTTGTTGATTAAGCATTAAAGGCTACTCCGTATTAACCCATTTAATAATCATGCTGAAATTGGTTGATTAAACATTGGTTATCGTTCTTAAAAAAAAAATTGGAAATAAGTTTGTTCAATAAGTTGACACACACTAGAATACTAATTGGGTAATCCGGACAACACAGTCCCTATCCGAGTAATATCTGATCGACCGGGTAACCCCGGCTACACAAACCTCTGACCGAGTAACCCTATAACCCTGAATAACTCCAACCACACATGAAAATCTACGAAGTTAGTTTGGTATAGCTATTTGCTGTTTTGGTTTTTTGTTTTTAAATGTGAATGTCATTTAATAAGCCAAAATTGGTCAAACTTATTAAAATCATAATAATTTGAAAACTAACAAAAAAAAATTAGAAACAACTTTTTCTTTCCTGCTTTTGGTTATTTGTTTTTTAAAAAAAAAAAGAAAATTAAAAACAAAAAACGATTCTAAACAAGCCCGTGATTTTTACTTTTCTGTAGTCAGTTTTCTTAATAATCATTGTTTTATACACAAGACTAATTTTTTATTCTTAATATGACATATACCATATGATTTTTAAAAATAAAAACCAAAATACGGAAAATTACAGTGATACCGAAAAAGCCATTAAGAATAATCAAACATTTCGATTATTCCGCAGTAATCCATCTTTAGGGGTGTTATCTTTTAACGATCCCTACCAATCAATGACCCTTTGTAAAGGTTGCCTATCCACTTTCTAACTGGTTTAATTTTTTTATTTTTAATTTAAAATAAATAATTTTAATACTTAATGTTACTTCTTTAGTTAATTAATTTTAAATCTTTTTATGAGTTTTCTTGTTATATTTATGCGTGGCTTGAGTTATTATTATTTAAGGGTTGTAATTCGATCTCTAAGCCTTGTAATTAGGGGTGTTCACCGGTCCAAAATCGGACCGGACCTGGATCGGATATGTTGGGACCGAAACCTGAATTAGGGGATTTTGAGGACCGGAGATCGAACCTGATTCAATAGGTCCGGTTCCGGGTCAGACCTGAAAAATCAGGTTTGGTCCGGATTTGGACCTGAACAGACCTGTTTTGTTATTTTTTTCGTTTTTTATTTTTTTAATAAATAACCTGTTGGACCTGCATATGGACCTGTATATGGACCTGTTTTGTGATTTTTAGACATGTTGCATAATTTAATAATTACATACAATCCCAAATTATCAATCATAAATTTTTTTTGATTTTTAGACATGTTGCATAGACCTATATATGGACCTGAATAGACTTGTTTTGATTTTTGAATTTTTTTTTTTTTAAAAAAAAAAATACAATTTTACCGGGTTTCAGGTCCGGACCTGAAAACCCCGGTTTTGGACCTGATCCGGACCGGAACCGGAAACCTTGAATTTCAAGGACCGGGACCGGACCTGAATCTACAGGTCCGGATCAGGTCCGGTCCCAACAGGTCCGGTTCAGGTCGGTTTTCAAGTCTGGTCCTGTTTATGCACACCCCTACTTGTAATAGTAATTAGGCGTCTCTCCCTCTTAAAATCTCTACTTTTTTAGCCTAACTCATGCATGAAACTTGATTAATAAAAAGTGATCACTACCTTATCAAATGTGCTAATCCAAAAACCATTTACTAAAGTATGTTCAAAATGTTTGGGTGCGTTCAAAACACTTTGCAATCTATTATCTACTATCAATCAATCAATTACAGAATATTAAAACAAACACCTAGAACGACACATGTCACTTCCTGGTGCTGTCATTTCCCTCCAAAAAAACTTTCCAATAAAATAGAATAAAAATGTTCCTACTTGATTTGATTTTCTTTCTCTACATATATGCTTTTTTGTTTCGGGGATTTTTAGAATACCCAAAAGGGGGGTATGGATTCCCTAGGGAGCCAAATCCGAAATGCTACACTCGTACGGTCTAAACACCTACAAAACAACAAATCTCCGATTTACCAAAGATCCGCCTCCTACTGTATTAAGACCCTCATGAGTGGTCCGATTTAGCTGAAATTTTGGCAGCTTGCTTGAGATATGAAGAGCTTCATTTTCAATGGTGCAATTGTCATTTGATGCAATAGACTACAAGTTATAGCCTTAGGACAAAAGCTCGTTTTCTTGCTTCTTGGACAACAACATGTCGGTAAAAAGGTAGCTAGAACCTTCCACTTGCTCTTGCATTGAATGAGAGTATGAGACAGCTGAAATAGTACCTAATTGAGGCTATAAATACCCATGAAAGTCTGTCACATTTACTCAAAACCATCCTTCCCAAATGTCGTAGTGTTGGAAACCTAGCTTGTAAAACCCCGAAAGCTCGTTCAACGTCCTTCCGAGCCGCAACTTGTTTATCAGCAAATAATTTATCCTTCTCAATTTGAGGATGTGTTATTCCTTGAATGAAAGTAGCCCATTTTGGGTAAATATCGTCTACTAAGTAATATCCCATGTCAAAATCATGACCGTCCACTGAAAAATGTATTGGAGGTGTTCGACTATGCAAAACATCATCAAATACCAGGGACCAGTATAAGACATTAAGGTCATTACAAGATCCAAGGATTCCTAAGAATGCATGCCAAATCCATAAATCTTGATCTGCAACGGCTTCTAAAATTAGGGTCGCATTCTTATTCCGACCTACGTATTGCGCTTTCCATGCCGTAGGACAATTCTTCCATTCTCAATGCATGCAGTCAATGCTACCTATCATGCCGGGAAAACCACACATTTCATTTTGATGCAAGATTCGCCTTAAATCGTCATCTGTGGGACCCCCTTAACAAAAACGTTGCAGTGCATTCCGAGAGGTTGTTTGACCAATGTGTACATACTCACCCACCGCATCTGCGGCCAATCCGTACGCCAACATTCTTATTGCGGCAGTGCATTTTTACAGTGGTGATTAGGGGTGTGCATAAACAGGACCGGACCTGAAAACCGACTTGAACCGGACATGTTGGGACCGGACCTGATCCGGACCTATAGATTCAGGTCCGGTCTCAGTTCTTGAAATTCAAGGTTTCCGGTTCCGGTCCGGATCAGGTCCAAAACCAGGGTTTTCAGGTCCGGACCTAAAACCCGGTAAAAAATTTTTTTTTGAAAAAAAAAAAAATTCAAAAATCAAAGACAGGTCTATTCAGGTCCATATACAGGTCTATGCAACAGGTCTAAAAATAAAAAAAATAAAAAATTATGATTGATAATTTAGGATTGTATGTAATTATTAAATTATGCAACAGGTCTAAAAATCACAAAACAGGTCTATATACAAGTCCATATGCAAGTCCAACAGGTTATTTATTAAAAAAAACAAAAAAATAACAAAACAGGTCTATTCAGGTCCAAACCTGGACCGAACTTGATTTTTGACCAGGAACAATCAGGTCCGGTCTTCGGTCCTCAAAATCCCTAATTCAGGTCCCAGTCCCAACAGGTCCGGTCCGGTTTTGGACCGGTGAACACCCCTAATGGTGATAACCCAAGCCTTTCAGCTGCATTCCTATGCTATTGGAAGAATTGATCACCGTCAACCAATTTATTCATGATGCGACAGAATAAAGGCCTTTGCATTCGAAATCTATGCTGAAATTGATTGTTGTTATACACTAGATTATCAACAAAGTAATCATTAAACAATCTTTCATGACCTTTTTCCCTATCTCTCCTATTTGTATCCCCTCTAGAAAGCTCCGGGTCATATTCATTTTCAATTACGGGTTGGGCTTGTGGTGGGAAAGTAACATAGTTGGTAAGTGGTTTATGAAGAGTTCGTCAAGTAGTTTATCAAATTCTGCATATTGATCCGAATCAGACGAGCTAGAAGTTTCGCTAATAGAAGACATTGTATTTGTTTGAAATATTGGATTTTTTTGGTGTGGTTGTGGATAGATCACTTATTAAGTATATATAGCAATAAACTAGAAATATGAATGACTTTTCAATACATTAAAACCAATTAAACTACTGAAATGGAGCATGCATGACTACTGGATGACATTTCAATGCATTAACACTATACTATGAATGACTATTCAATGCGTTAAAACAAAATACTGACTAGCTTATTATGAATGACTAGTCAATGCATAATAAGATAGGTACATGATATGTTATAGGTATGTCTCCTAAATGACATTTCAATGCATGCTAAAACAATGTCATGAAATTTCAAATAAATAAAATAAAATTGGAGACACATAAATTACTTAACACGATAATAAAACAAACTATAATACAAACCTCTTTTTTTTTACAAGAACTTTAACACAAACTTACTACAACATTACAATAGCAAAATACATTAATAAACATAAACTTAACACAACATTGAAATACAACATTAATTAAACTTAAACTTAAAATACAACCGTACCCGAAAATAAAACATTACACTTAAAATTAAAGTTAATTTACTTAAACCCTTCGACCATACACTTGTTGGATTAAATCTTCCTTGCATGCCTCTTCAGCAGGGGTCAGGGGTGTAGTCTTTGCTAAAAGAGCTTGCAGCAGATTAAAATTCATCTTCCTCTCTTGTAATTCAACTTGCTTATGTTTTCTCTTTTCCTTTTCCTGGTCAAGTTCCAACCTCTATTGTTTTAGAATTGCCTCCCATTCTCTAACTTCATTACACGCCTTCATCTGTTCACCAATGGTAAAAAAAAAATGCACTCTCATAAGCCACCGCTTTGCCCCTACGCTTAGCCTTTGCCTTTTTTTACACCTTCGGGTCGTGGTAAACCTCCTAATGAAAATCCTTCATTAGGGACTTCATTCCCAATTTCAGCCCTAGACCTCTTCCCACTTCCACTACTATCTTCGTCGTCATCACGAGCCTTTTTTCCTCCTTTGATAAAGCCCATCTTAACTTTGGATCATCCTTAACCATTTCAACTCCGTGAGGAAAAGTAAAATTGTGACCAGTAGAGATATGAAACATCTTCGATGCATTTTTAATTCGGTTAGATTCGTTGTAACCACTTCCACTTTTTGAAAGTTTACTCGCTTCCTCATAACAAGATTTCCA